CCTCCAACTCCTGGGCTCAAGCGAGTCTCCTGCCTCAGTCTCCCAAGTAGCTGGGACCATAGGCACCCACCACAACGCCTGGCTATTTTTTGGTTGCAGTGGTCATTGTTGTTTGGTGGGCCAAGCTTTATTTGAACACGCCACCTTAGGTGTATGTGGCTGGCGCCTTAGCCACTTGAGCCACAGGTGCTGAGCCTTTTTTTTTGAAACAGAGTCTCACTCTGTCTCCCTGTGTAGCATGCCATGTGTGCCATGGCATTATAGTCCACAGCAACTTCTTCACACTCCTGAGCTCAAGTGATCCTCTTGCCTCAACCTCCTGAGTAGCTGGGACTACTGGCATGGGCTACTATGCCCATCTGATTTTTCTATTTTTAGTAGAGATGAGGTCTCACTCTTGCTCAGGTTGGTCTGCCTAAAATTCTTGAGGGCAGGGACCCAATGTTTTCATTGTACTCCCAACACCCTGTTTTTATGCCTAGCACAGAGAAGATGATAGTAAAGAGTTCTTGAATAAATGAGTGATCTGCTGAATTACCATGGATTTGGGAGAAGGGATCTAGAGGGTGGAAACAAAGGGTAGAGATAAAGGGCATTTTTTTTTTTTTAATGTAGAGACATAGTCTTACTTTATCGCCCTTGGTAGAGTGCCGTGGTGTCACACAGTTCACAGCAACCTCCAACTCCTGGGCTTAGATTATGTTCTTGCCTCAGCCTCCCGAGTAGCTGGGACTACAGGCGTCCTCCACAACGTCTGGCTATTTTTTTGTGACAGTTTGGCCAGAGCTGGGTTCAAACCTACCACCCTCGATATATGGGGCCGGTGCCCTACCCACTGATCCACAGGCACCACCCAAAGGGCATTTTCAAAAATTAAAAAATATAAATAGTTGATCAAGTCTTTGAGATCAGCTCTAAGACTGGAATTGTTTGGTATCTTTATATATGAACTGGAGAAATGACACTATGAAAAAATTTCAGATAGGGAAGGGACATAAATGTTTGATCTAGATAATAGGAAGGTCTAAAAATTTTGTGTTCCTGAACAATGACAGTTGTGGACTTGTTTTAAAATAGGTAAAGGAAGCGTTCAGAAGGAATCTAAAATCATTCTAAATCTTTTAAAACTGTAAGTCATAAAAAAGACCTGGTAGTTTTGGGTATAGACACTTATTAGTCTGATAGTGTCAAAAGCCTCCCATAACGTTGAGCATCATTGAGAACAGTTGAAGACAAACCAACTGGTAATCCTGTCTGTATGTAAATCATGATGTTTCCTCATCCTGAGTCCTATGTGCAGTTTTGGCAATCACATCTTAGACAGGAGACAATAGAATTAGGGACTGATTAGAGAAGATCCACTAGACGGAGAGAAAAAATGGCAGCCCTGGTAATGGAGTATGGACAAAAGGTGAGTGGCTCTCAATCCGAAAGAGACCATAGTTTAGTTAAGAATAGACATAAGCTTATTCAAGAAATTCTCAAATATTAGAGAGAGAAGCAGACTTTAAAAAGTTTAGCATTAGTTTAGGACAAATAAAAAGAAGATAATTATGGGACTTAATTAACTTCAAGTAATGGCATATTCATACATTTTTTATGTGGGTTTAAGGAAGATTTGTGAAATTTATGAATGGCAGTGACATACAGCTAATTTTAAAAAATTAGATATGTGAAAACCTCACAGCTGATGTCAGGTGAGGCATTCCCTCCTCTTGCTTGATCCTGTGTGCCTTGGTTAGCAATAAAATACTAAAGTAGATACACTACATATAGTCCTAATGACTTGAACTAGATTAACTTTTTTCTATTTCGCCCTCTTTTAGAAAAAAATAAAACCAATAAACTTACACTTAATTTGGATTTTGGTGGAGGAAAGGAATAAGATAACAGAAAAATTTATCTTTCTTAATGAATATGTAGAAATTAACTCTCTAAATAAAATATTTTTAAAAAACAAGGTCTTTGTAAAATACATTTGTGTAACTTTTAGGTTGCCTAGGCTTTTACAGTCTCCCACGGGACTAAAATCTCTGCCCATGGTGATGCACAGTCATAGCCCCTTTACCACATTTCAAGGAGGCTGCATCCTTCACACACAGTGCCGTGGACAGCAAAATTGAAACATAAAGCAATAATTACATACTCAATATGTAAAATTTCTCTTTTGCAAGCAGTACTTGGAGATTTCTACTTCTTTTAGTAAAATAGATATCAGTCACAATTTTCTAATACAATTGATTTTACATAAGAAAGGAAAAAAATCTAAATATGTCCTTAGTTGTTGAGAAAACCTGGAGTGTAGGACTCATGAAATTTGGGCAGGTCAGTGGAACACATTTTCTGTAACCATTATTAGGATTTCTGACATGTCTTCTCTTAGTACATAAGTATTATCGTTATTATCGTGAACTTATGGATTTATGTGTTTTTTTGAGCTCAGCTACTTTGTCTATTGGGTGTGATGATTGATTTTTGAATTCTCATCATGTGGCCCTCGGAGGATCTGTTGAGGTTTTTCCTTTATCCTTTTCAGCACTCATGTTATATTGGAAAGCATCTATGCTTCCTAGTAATAATATGTTTCAACTAATTTTGGTTTTGTCCATGCTCCAGTGCGTGGAATTGGTTACTGCCTTGATAGCATCAGTTCTTTTCATTGAGACTGGTATTCTTAGGCACCAAACTCTGGGTATATGCACAAGTGCTGTTTTTAGGCAGGATGATTTCAAAGGCTGTTTTGGTCCCTTTGGGGACTTGGAGAAAAATATATTTTTAAATATTCTTAAGGTCACTAGTTTATATCGATGTTTTCAGTGTAAATTTAACCTCTCATTTCTGAAGACTTTCATTTTCTTAAACTCTACATCTTTCTTTTCTCTGTCATATTTCACCTCTTACCATTATTTATTCCTGTCAATTTTAGTGTTGAAGTTTAATTTTATAAGCACTGAATTAAATAGAGAGTCAAATACTCCATATGTGGTCAATATGTATTCGGTAATGTTTTAGTAGTCTAAATTTGCAAAAAATAAATTGTTTTCTACTTCAGATCTTTTTTTAGAAATGAAACATTACATGTGTAATTGAAGTGAAATTGGTGTGCCTTCTTCCTTTGAAAGTTTTAATGTTTCTCCTACATTGCATTTTTACATAAATGAAGCATAAATGATGTTTTGTTCTTAAAGAATAAATGTCATTATATTGAGAGAGGATACCAGAAAAGGGCGAGGGAGGGAGAACAGGTCTTCTCAGGGAGACCACGAGGATGCACCTGCAGGACCCTCTCCATGGTGACTCAGTTCTTGGGAATTTATAGGCTTAACCTCCTGGAACTTGGAAATTTCCAAGTTCTGTGAAATCCTGTAGTTCTGTAGGGGCTGAAGTAGCATCTGCCACTTGATTCAAACTGGCCAATGAGAAGGGTACCTGTGGGGTGGAACTTTTTGACTGTCAATAAAAAGGAAAAGACCGAGCTAGTTTGAGAGCGCAGCCATTTGGAAATCTTCTATGCCGTAAGCTCCTGGCTGATGAATAAAGCCCTTCCTCTTATAACTATGATGTTTGGGTGCTCTTTCTCTCCGTTGGGCCTCGTCTTCCTGCAACAATATGGTAAATCATATTTCGTAACTTGCTTTGGATTAAATTTTTTTTTTCAGTTTTTTCTCATTGATATATAAAAACTTATTTCACTGTTTTTAATTTCTGTGCTACATTCCACTGAATAAATATACTTTAATTTATTGCCCTATTAATGGATGTTTAGGTCACCATCATTTTTTTTGTTCTTATAAACAGTGCTTTATGGAATACCATTCTTCATAATTCCTTAGGCACACGTGAAAGGTGTGCCTTTCTTTCTTTCTCTCTCTCTTTCTCTCTCTCTTTTTCTCTTTCTCTCTTTCTTTGTTTCTCTCTTTCTCTCTTTCTTTCTTTCTCTCTCTCTCTCTCTCTTTCTCTCTCATTCTCTCATTCTCTCTTTTCTTTTCTTTCACAGGCTCACTCTATTAGACAGGCTAGCGTGCTATCTCACTGTGTTAGCCAGGCTAGATCCTCCTGCTTCAGCCTCCTCAGTAGCTGGGACTTCAGGCACTCACCACAACACCTAGCTAATGATTTCTCTTTTTGGTAGAAAGAGGACCCACTGTTGCTCAAGCTAGTCTTGAACTCCTCAGCTCAAGCTTCACCTTCCACCTTCACCTCCCAGAGTGCTAGGATTAAAGGCATGAGCCACCACACCTGGCC